GATACCCTGGCAACTTCATGCTAGATACTTTTTATCATCTCTATGTCTTCTCAGTAGTTGATCTCAATTCCTTGTAAGCCTTCTGGGTGCCATTTGGTGACATCGTAGCAAGAAACCTTCCAGTTTGGTCTCCAGCTTTGTAATTTTCTTGTGCCACTAGAGCAGAGCAGTAGTACAACACCATGGAAAACAAAACACCTTTTTACTGGACTCTTCTATTAACGATTAAAACCTCAATCTCTTAAAACTCATTTTGCTCTCTATACTTTGTCTCCTCCCTGTTCAATCTGTGAAGTGAAACTTAATAACCTCTCTGCTTTTATAATGAATATTTTTCTCCTTCCGCTACTTCTGTGTTATTTTAAAGGATCAGATTTTGTTCTGCAAGATGTATTTAATAATGCTTAACAAATAGCTCTTCTCACTGGATTAGTTTAAAAGTAACTTACTGCAGTTTCTGCAAAATCTGTTTTATTGGCACATCTGAGCATTACAATGCTATCAACTCTCTCATGGCCTTTAATGATATACAATATCTTGCTTTCCCAATAAAAACAACCGTACAGATCAAGTAGCACCACAAAAGCTGAGGTTAATGCCTTTTTCCCTTCAGTACAGCACGGGACTTCAAACACCTCACCACATACTCATTACTGTCAGCAGCAAAGCTGTTTGTGTGCTGCAAATGTGTTTTCAGATGTGAGACCGTTGCTGTAGGATTCATACGCAGTGAAAGAAGAATCAAGTCAAAAAACTGTCCATGATGTGCTCATGTAGAGATCTACTGGTAAGGTTTGCCTATATGCCCGCCGACCCCCTTCTGAGTTGTTCCTCAACTGGGGCATCAAGGTGTGCAGGGCAGTTGTCTACAGGTACTTTTCATGTGTTGGAGTACTTATGATACGTCCACATCATGACTTTTGATCTGTGTTTTGCATGTTCCTTGTGGCAATGGTGCTACTTGACGGAAGACAGTAAGGAACTTCAGAGGAAAACCTTACTCACAGTCTCTTTAAATCACCAGCAAATGAGCTTTGTGGGATTTTGAATAAAATATTAACAACACATAACTGAGCAGACAATCAGCAGACATGACCATTCTTGTGCTTTGTGGAGATTGTCTCCTTTCACCTTCCCTCTTTGTTTTTCAGTCGCCACTCACTGTGACTGGTGACTTAAATTATATACTATTGTTTCCCTCTCATAAGTGAGGAACTGGAGTTCAAAAATTCCACTATGGAGAACTGCTGTCCTCAACAACTGTCCTGAATAAAAGAGATGGATGGATGGATAGATGGATGGATGGATGGATGGATGGATGGATGGATGGATGGATGGATGGATGGATGGATGGATGGATGGATGGATGGATGGATGGATGGATGGATGGATGGATGGATGGATGGATGGATGGATGGATGGATGGATGGATGGATGGATGGATGGATGGATGGATGGATGGATGGATGGATGGATGGATGGATGGGCGGCACAGCTGTTTTGGAGTTAGAAGCTCAACCAAAAGGCAGCTTATGCCAGTGAAGCCTTCACTGAGCTACAACCAGCAGGAAGCATTCCTAACTGAAGAAAGAGCCTTTCTTGCTGTTTTTGAAGCAGTTCCCCAGAGAAACCAGACAGCAGTTTGAGATCTTCTGAAGCAGAAGCATGTGAATCACAGTGAAATTACACAGGTGTCAACATTTGATATAGCAAAAGTGCCTTCTAACCAGAGGGTGTAGGTTTTAATGGCATAGCACAAAAACTGACTCTGGTCCGTTACACTAAACATTTTTGTAACACTGTCCCTTTGGCATTTAAACAGTATTTCAGATTTGAAGTTAAAATACGGTCTGAATCTTAGCGTTCACGAGTTGTTTTTTTTTACTCTGTAAATCATTGGTTGATTTAATGCAGGAGGCATAATTTGTCAATTTTACAGAAGAGCTATTTGAGGAAATAACTGATTCATGTTAGCAAGGGGGTGGTGAACAGCAGCTTCAGGTGTGGTGAAAACATATTGTCGCTACCTTCTTTGCCACACTAATTATGGTGAATAAATGGAACCAGAAAAAGAGACAGGGTGGAACAAGGCTGATCAATACCTGCCTCTCCCTCGCCTTCCCCGCAGTCAAAAGAGAATGATTGCACTTATATGGCCTTCTTGGGGAGTATCTGCTCCTTGCTGGAGGTTAAATGAAAAACTCTTGTATTCCTACTTTTATGCTGACCCTAAATTTGTGTCCTGATTCTAGTGTCTCTGGCTATGTGGATAGTTCTTCAAGTCAATGGGAAAATTGTCATGAAAAAGGGCTGCTCACATGAATGAGGTTTGCAAGATCAAGCCCTTCATGATCAGTATAACCCTGGGCATCGGGCTGATATGGCATCCCTGATTTACAAGAGTAATCCTATTAGCATCAAAGGGACAATTCACATGAGTAAGGGCTGTGAGAATGGGCCCCTGAGGAGCAACTATCACCACAGTTATGTATCTAACCTCACTTAGATCACAGCAGTTTTCAAATGTTGTACAGGCACTTTATGCTGCTACTGAACTTTGAGAAGAAAATAGACCTTGAGCACAAGTTCACTTCTGCTTTACTGACTCTGGCCCCAGTTTTGCACTCTACTTAGACTTCTCACTCTTAAGTGGTTCGGGGTCTGCAAGAAATACTTGCTTCTAGTTTCTTTCCTTTCTTTTTCCTTCCCTTTCTTTCATTTCTGTCTTTCCTTTTTCTTTTCTATTTTCTCTCTTTCTTGTCTATCTTTTTTATCTTTTATCCTGTTTAATTTCCTTTTTTATTTTTTTTCCCTTCCCTTCCCTTCCCTTCCCTTCCCTTCCCTTCCCTTCCCTTCCCTTCCCTTCCCTTCCCCTTTCTTTTTCTTTTTCTTTTTCTTTTTCCAGTTTTCTTTGTCTTTTCCTATTTTTCTTTTTTCCATTTTTTTTTCTATTTTTTTCTCTTTTTTTTCTTCCTCCTTCCCTCCTCTTTTCCCCCCCTTCTTGTCCTCCTCCCTTCCTCATCACTTCTTTGCTTAGAATAAAGGGAATTCAATGATGTTGGGAAAAAATTAGTAAGGTGTTGGCCTCAAAATTCAAAGACTGGGAACATACAAGCTTTCTCAATTTCAGAAGCGTTTCTTAAGGTCACATAAACCAATCTAAATTTCCAGGATCTGTAAAACAGGACTGTGAAATTCAAAGGGCGATTTTTGTAGAATTTATAGCTGCATTTTCCTTCTTTTTATATCCTGTATACAACTAATGAAAATGGCCTTTCTCCTGGCTTTCTGGTATTTTCAGGTCTAGAGTTCTGAGAACTGCCTATAGATCAATTACCAGCTTTTATTCTCAAGTATAATAATGTGGGCTTAGTTTAACTCTGTTTAAAACTTAACAGGTTTACCTTCTTTTTAAACTGGTTTCTGATGAAGATTAGAATGCCAAACAGAAAAAAAAAAAAAAAAAAGAAAAAAGGTGGTAATAGGAAACACTTATAGTTTTATTTCAATAGCAGAAATTACACTATATGATCTGGATATATTATACAAGAATTTATGAAGATACAAATCCTGCCTTGAAGTTAGGAGCCACAGAAAGGCTTTCATTAAAAAAATATAATAAAAATCCATTCCCTGGTATGGATCCATGCTTATATGAGTTGTTTTGTTGACTTCAGTAGAAATGCTATTTGCTGTGTCCTTACCAAGAACAAAGGTTCCTGAACCCAACTTCTAGCATCTTTTAAAACGAGTTCTGATAGTACAATCCTTGCTCAAACGAGTTTTGCTGTGTTTGATGATTAATTAAAGTCACAAAGGTCTGCACACACAGGCATTTACCATGACACAAAGCATAGCAGTAATATCAATGAATGATGAATATATGTACCTAAGACTAGTTTTTCTATAATGATGAAGCTTTAAAAATTGTATCCCTTTCTGACAATGTCCACATCTTTAAGATTATTTCTGGAATCTTTACGGGGCACCCGAGTACATTTATCTCTATCTTCTTCAGTCTTACATGAGCTGCTTAGTCTCAAGCATTCTGGAGGGTGTAGAGAGGTGGGGGTCGGTCTCTTCTCCCAAGTCACAGACGACAGGACGAGAGGAAATGGCCTCAAGTTACACCAGGGGAGGTTCAGGCTGGATATTAGGAAAAATTTTTTCACCAAAAGGGTTATCAGCCATTGGAATGGGCTGCCCAGGGAGGTGGTTGAGGCACCATCCCTAGAGGTGTTCAAAAGATGGGTTGATGTAGCGCTGGGAGATATGGTTTAGTGATGGTGTTGCTTTTTGTTTGTTGTATGGGCGTCTGTTTTTGTCAAAATTAGGTTGACGGTTGGACAAGATGATCTTTAAGGTCCCTTCCAACCTAGAAGATTCTGTGATTCTGTGAGGAGCGATGTGGGAATAGCATAATTTTCTCTGACGGAGCAGCGAGAAGCTTGGAGACCAGGTTTCCTCCTTTCATCACATCCTCGCGTGCCGGTAAGAGAAGTTCACGGCCCTGAAGTTCCTTTATTTTCTCTTACATTTTGCAAAACAACACGATGCACACTGATTGCAACACCGCTGACGGCTTGGCAATACAAGCATTTTTTTAAAATTTTTTCTTTTGGCAAAGGTTCAGATCCACCAAAACAACGTTGGGGCCCAAAGTACTGAGGCTGGAGGTGCTTTACACAGTTTCTCCGGTAAGCTTTGAGCCCACTGGGGAGTTTGGGCAACTGGCTGGCCATGAGGCGTCCCTCACGAAGCCTGGCCGGGGTTACAGATCTTTGGTTTCCCTTTGCCTCAAAGCCCAAGGGTTTTAAGACACGAAGGCCTTTTCTCGCTTGTGCCCTTTTACTGGTTTTCCTTCCTTTCTCCCCAGGTAACGTTTGCTGGGGCCTGGGCCTGGCCTCGCCTTTGGCGAGCCACCAAGGCCGCTCCAGCGGCCTGCCCGTCAGGACACCGGCCCCGAAGGCCGCGGAGGCCGCCGAGGCCTCGCTTGGAGCTGGGCCGGGACCCGCCTCCGCGCCCGAATGGGCGAGGAGAGGAGAGGAGAGGCGGGGCCGGGCCGGGCCCCGGGGCGGGCGGAGGCGCAGTGGCCGGTGGGGAGCGGCGGGGATCGGGACGCGGTGTGGGCGCTTTCCCGAGGGGACGCGAAGCGAGGTGCGTGGGCGCTGCGTGATGGCGGCTCCCGCTGGCGGGCGGGAGCGGGAGGGCCCCCCCATCCTCCCTTCTCCTCCTCTTCTCCCGTCCCGTCCCGCCGCCTTCCCGGCCAGAAACGCTCCACGGGGGTGCGGGGGTTTTTCCTCAGGAGGCTGTGGTGGGGATGCGGCGTAGGGGACGGCCCGGTGCTTGCGGGGCCGGGGCCGCCCCCCCTGGATCTCCGCGCTGGGGCCTGGGCCGAGGGGAGCGGAGCGGCCCAGCGTGTGCGGGACGGGGAGAGGGTGACCCGCTGCGGGGCCGCGGCTTAAACGCCCTTTGGAAAGCGGCGTTTGAAGGAGGAAAGGGGGGAAAAATGCCGTCCCGGTGCTGGGTGCCGCAACCGCGCGGTCAGCCGGGGCTGGGACAGAGTCACGGGTGGGGGGGACGTCGGTCCAGCCGTGCTCCCGCTGGGGTTGGGGGGGGCAGAGCCGTCTGGGGTGGCTTTATCCACCGGTAAAGACGTGGAATATTCCCATGGGATCCAGGTGCGTGCACTTAACCATGCCCGGGTTGGCTCGCAGCACCGGGGAGGTGTTATCCTGCCTTTGCAGATCAGGCTGGCTGCAGCCTTGATTAGCCCCTCTGCCGTTTCGCCCGGCGGGGTGGTTTTTGGTTTTGTTTTCTTTATTTTGCATTTCTGCTGGTGTTAAAACCGTGAATTCATCGGTACAGTTCCTTTCCTGGGCTTTATGAGAGTTTCCCTGCGAGTAGGGAAAACAGGTAAATGTGGTGTAGCACCAGAGATGCTGGTGGACAGTTTCTCGGGACTTTGCATCGGTTTTTGGGTGTATTTTCACCGTAGCTTTAGAATCCAGAAAGGAAAAAAAAACCAACACAAAACACTCCGAAGCCACAGATTGACCTTCTTTTTGTTGTGTGAAACTATGAATGCTCTGTAGAAACTGCTGAGAAACGTCTTTGCTGAATTGCTGATTATCTCCAGAACTGCTGTTCTGTGAAGTGAAAGGAAAGAAAGTTATACTGAATTTCTCCTAATCCCCAGAGCCAGCGCTTGGCCTGGTGACTCAAGCAGTGTTTTGGAAAGGATAAAAGAGAGAGCAAAGTCCCATCACTGCAGCCAGACTCATCCAGGAAAGGCTGGAGTTGTTTCACTGAGCAAAGAGCTGCTTACCTCCGACTTCCCCACCTTCCTACCAAGGATGTGCCTTCAGAGCAATGGTCTTCTGCTGGTCGTGGCTCATCCAGTGTCTCCTGTTTGGCTATAGCTGGCAGTGACTCCGTGCTGAAAGCAAGATGAGAGATTGTTAGAGCTGTAATCAAGTTAATATTGCTATTATTAACTATTGTTAAAATGATATCATAGGAAATAATGAAATTAACTATAACAAAATAATACATTTATTTGGGTTTTGAGTGAAGCTAAGACATACAAGTTTTAAGGATTCCTACTCATTAAGCTAGTGATCAAAGCACTTGATGAGGCAAAAAACCCTTACTCTCTGCAGAGCACAAATTGCATGTGCAAGGAGACATGCTTTTTGTTTTATGTGCATTCAGTCCTTACCCCGTTCTTAACTTTATGGTGTTAATAACAGGTACCACCTCCACAGGATTGTGGGTTTGGTATGGTCTCATTGGAAAGAGAGTTCATTAGCTTAAACCTCCCATGATAAAAGCATAAATAGTTTCTCTGCTTTTTGTCATTACAACTTAATCTTTGCCTGTGAATCATGCTAAAAGCAATTTTTAAGAACAGGGTCTCAAAGGAGAAAAATGATGCGTGTTTAACTGAGTTTGATCACAAGTGATTGCTGGGTGGGAAGATACTGGTTAGTTTAAAAGCTAAAGTGCAATTATAATTGTGTCATTCTACAAAAAAATAAAGGAAGTTAGGCAATACTAATTTTCCTCTTTAAACCCTATAGTATGTATAGTATGTCATCACATTCTTTCTATCCTGGCAACTACTTAGGGAAATCCACTAGTTCAAATTAATTGATCTAAAATTGATCTAACTCCTTGTATTGTTTCAACAGTATACTGAATGTTGGGACAAAATTTTGGTTTTGCAATTACATTAACTATTTTGGTGGTATATATTTTGACAATTCAATAAACAGCTATAATGGAAGCAAAATACTAAATGATAATATAGTTTCTCATCTTAAAGTATTATGCCATTGACAAACTGAAGAAAAATAAATTTGTTTGAAAAGAAATGTTTCACAGTGGCAAAATTCTGCTGCAGTTCCAGTGATGCTGAAAAAAAAAAAAAAAAAAAAGGGCTATCCTGACAATTTGACAATTTTGTTACCAGAAATTTGGATTGCTATGATGTTAGCCTAACTTTAATGTTTTTTAAAGGTCATCAATGAAGAGTGAAGAAATGGCTAAATTGACCCAGTTAATTGACAATGACGTCTTCCGGGCTTATGCTACTTACACAACTATTGTTCTTCTAAAAATGATGCTAATGAGCCTTGTAACAGCATACTTCAGAATCACGAGAAAGGTAAGAAATTGGGAATATTGACTGGTACAATAGGTTGAAATTTATATTGAAATACAGAGTTATCACAGAGTTTTCTTTTCTTTTCAGCTTTCAAATACTGGTGCTGTTTTTTCTTCTTCCTTCTCTAATGATATTCTGAGTTTGGTGTGCTGGTCTCAAAAGGATGACGTTGAATTATAGAACGACACTCTTAACGGAATAGACATCTTTAACATAATTATGACACTGTACCTTACAGTTGCATTTTACTTTACCCTTCTAAAACATTTATCTTGTTTTTAAATAAGAGTTTTTAGTAACTGTAATTTCCACTTGTTCTGCAGAACGCTGGGGACCAGGGCACCCAATTTATAAAGCAAATAAAAGGTGGTATGGAACCATGTTACATGAATAACCAACTAGTAGGGTTAGAAGAGGGGATATGAACTGGATTTTCATGCATCTATAGCCCTTTCATCCAGTTATTTTAAAGCTCTTTACATTCCCTAGTTGTTTTAGCCTTCCCATTGCAAGTAGGTCATTATTTTTTAAAAAAAAAAAATATCTTAATTTTTTTCTAGAATGAGAGGCGGGCTGAAAATTTATGTGAATTGATGTGTAGGCTAGATAAGTATATGAAAGATCAACTGAGGATTACTAAATATTGCAGAAGCTGCATCTGGTTTAGGAGAGAGTGCTCATGGGAAGCATTGCCTTGTGTTTGCCCTGTTCTTGGTCTTATCTGGGCCACTGTTGGAAACACTTGATCCTGGGCTGAAAGAGCCTGGAGTTTGCCCCACATCTGCAAGAGGGTGTGTGCTTCAAGGATTTTCTTGCAGTCACTCTGTTGAAATACTGTATTTCATTCCTGCTGGGTGCAAGAAAACATAGCTGAGCTGTTCTGTGGTTCATGAGGTCCCAGTAGCACAGCATTTGAGCTACTGCTGGTTTCTGATAGCTCTCTCAATCTTTCACACAGCTCAAGGTTGAACATACAACCTGTCTTGTGTGTTCAAAATAGGACCCAGATGTCTGTGGTGTAACTTTACTTCCTTTTGCTCTTGAGGAAGCACAGCAGCTGTACTGGTCCTGGGTGTAGGTCCAGTGGAGTCCTGTATTAATGCTCAGACCATGTTATGATCCATAGGTCTGCAGGTGACATGGGGCCTTCATTAATGTGGAGTACTTGGTTTTCTTATGACAGACAGTAATATTACAAACGGAAAAATTAGTAAAGTCATTTTGATTTCCTATTTAGTATAAAAAAGCCTTTAAAATGTTAAATAAAAATAGAAGAAAACACTTAGTTGAGTGCGAGAAGGTAAAATGTTGCTGATATTGATACTGTTAACATGTCTCCAAAATTTTGAGGCTCAGGATATTTTAGAGAAAGGGATCAATGCTGTGTCAGAGAGCAATCATGTAGCTCTCCTAAAACCACAAGGTTTTCTTGACTCAAGCCTGCATAGCTGAATGGTCCACAGAATGTGTGTTACTGTGTGTCAGCAAGGAGATCTACTGCAGCCTACACTAACCGAATTAAATGTTGCTTTAAAATAGTGTCTTACAGTATTTGGAGGTAATAAATGGGTCATATAAGTTGTACCTTTTACCTTATAAGTACCTTTGTACTTACAATTTGTACATAAGAGGAAAGAGTCATACACGAGTATGGGACTAAGACACTTAGATGCTATTGCTGTGTAGACTCCTGAAGAAGGAAGGGATCCAAAAGGGCTTTCAGATAATTTGTCAAGAATAATGAGAAAGAGACTTAGGCAGTACGCTCAGTGGTTGTACCTTCCAGGTCCTTATGTTCCTTCAGGCCAAGTAACAGTCATCTGCCATGCTTGTCCATCTTACAAAAAGGCTTTATCTACATGCATAAATTACATTACATTAATTTGTCAGCGTGGAAGCTACATACAGCCTAGGCTCAGGAAGACAGTAGTGTAGTGAATATATTATTCTCCATGCGTTTAACTTCAGGTAAGTTATGTGAGGTTATAGAGGCATTAGTAAAAAGAGTGACCTTTATAGCAAGCTGCCGTGATTAGAAAAAAACATTCTGTCTTCTAACCTCTCATGTGTGTTTATGTTTGAAATAGGCATTTGTCAACCCAGAAGATGTAGCATCATTTGGTAAAGGTGAGACCGCTAAAAAATATCTGCGGACTGATCCGGATGTCGAACGTGTACGCAGGTAATGCATAGGAGTATTGACAAATCATTTTAAGCAGCAGCATAATACTAAATCAAGGAGTTGATTTCCCCCCATTCTCTTCAGCAAGCCTGTGTGCTTTGTGCTGCTTTATGTAGCAATCTAATATGTCAGTTTCTCTCAATGAACAGACCATTCCACATGCAAATGGTCAGTGTGCATACCGAAAAGAATAAGTCATTGTCTGGTTAAAATAGCTAACTCTTGGACAGTATGCTGTATACAGGGGGGAAGTGATGACAAGTTTGTAAAATATGGTAGTAAGGTGATTTAATATGAAGCAGTGTACATTAAGTGTAAATCAGCTTTCTATATAGTTTGAACACCAGTTGCAACATTTGTATCTTTTCCTAAAGTGTAAAGGAAATACCAGGAGGAAGAGGGATAAAACTATGTTTAAGGAATGCAACTCCAAAGTTGTAATGAGGGCATTAATATGGCAAATTGTACTGAGTAGGAGTCAAAGCCAGTGCTCCTTTTTGCTGGATTGAGTGGAGGTTGCTCACTGATGTGTCAATTGTACAGGGAAGTTGACCAGCCTTCTGGAAGACTGCTATTAATAGCATAGCATTGTGCAACCTGCCGTGTATGCATTTTGTTTTGCAGGATTCGTGGCAGAATGTGAGCTGTATTTCAGTGGGCTGAATCTTGCAGCTTATTTAATTTATTTTATTTAGCTGATGGCAAAATTTTGTTACCAAAATCATAACTTTAGAGATGCTGTTTGATATACCTGTACTAACAAGGAAAGGAATACTTTCCATATCATTATTCCTTAATGAAGCTAACATTTTATTTGCCATATGTGTATTTTTATACCAAAAACTGGAATATGAATGAACTGTTCTCATTTAAACCACCATTAGGGAAGATCTTGAAAATAAGTATCGGCTCTAATTTCAGAACAGTACATCCTTGCAAATGTAGATGACTGTGGTATATTTTTTTATGTCTCTTCTGGATTAATATCTCAGAAAGAACATTCTAATCTCAATGGGCTGTAAAAATGCTCTGAACTTTCCTTTTCTCTTCCTGAGTGGTTCAGGGTGGTTTTAGTTGTTTAATTTGCTGGTTGTTATATAAAAATGGGCACCTTTTGGTGAGGAGCAGTTCTTTTTTATTTGTAAATTCTAAGATGCCCTTTTAACTCAAATTATTATGGTAGAGGAGTGACAACCACCCAACAGAGTCATTTACACAGAGTAGATTTTTTAGAACACTCTATTAAGAACAGTTGTGTTGCTATTTTGCAGAGAATTCCCCAGACCTAGGAATCAGCTTGGTTCTAGTTACCCCATTGGTGCTGCAGCATCCATTTTTCCCTCCCAACAATGGTTCTGGATGGCAGTTTACTGTATTTTTGGTTTGCAGGCTTCATGGCAACAGAGATTTAGCATGTATTCTCTTCTGTATAAGTGACTGGAATTTGTCGTGTTCATGGGTGTAGAAAAGACATTGCTTTCTTCAGTGTACTTTTTCAGAGAAAAAAAAAAAAGCTGGAAGATACATTCCCTTGTAATGATAAATGACTTCAGAAAGCAGCTGCAAACAGCACCATGTTCTGATTCTAGTTGGCTGTGAAATTTGACATAATTAGTAAGGTTTAGAGGTTGTTTCAATCAGTAAATTTGGCTGGAAGTATAATTTATCTAAAGAGGTAAAGGGAGCAGGGAAGGTGTAGGAAGAGGCGTGAAAGAGTACTTCAAGATCTGGAGTTCAATCTCAGCACATTTTTAGTAAATTATATTATGGTTTCAAAATTTCAAACATTTTTCAGCTATTTTAGGGCTTAGTAGTGAAGAAAATGAACCAAAAGCGTAACTGTCACACCTGTTAGATGCTCAAAAATAGCCTTCTTCAAGATGATTGAACTTCATGAAGATTTATAGAATCTTCTATATATAGGATGTTTCATATTGTCTTTGTGGAGACTATGAACTGAGTTTATGGGATTGGAATAGACTATCTGGGCCATGAAGTCCAGTAGTTGCAGTCACAGTCATCCAGTTGATTGATGTTCAGTTGAAAGAAGCTACAAGAGAATTCCAGCTATCTGTCTTCTTCCCCACTTTTCGTTGTGTCCTTGCATACCCAGGAACTCTCATGTACCTCATAGAATCATAGAATTGCCCAGGTCGGAAGGGACCTCCAAGGGTCATCTAGTCCAACCTCCCTGCAGTCAGCAGGGACACCCCCAACTAGACCAGGTTGCCCAGGGCTTCGTCGAGCCTCTCCTTGAATATCTCCAGGGATGGGGCCTCAACCACCTCCCTGGGCAACCTGTTCCAGTGCTCCACCACCCTCACAGTGAAGAACCCTCTCCTAATCTCCAATCTAAATCTGCTCCCCTCCAGCTTGAAGCCATTGCCCCTCGTCCTGTCACTGCAGGCCTTTCTGAACAGGTTCTCCCCAGCCTTCATGTATATTACCTCATGTAAGTCCCCAATATTATGAAGATCCTGGGCAAAAACTAAATCCTTTCATACAGAAAATCAGAAGCTTAAAAATGTGGGGTGTGGCACGAGAGACCAGAACAATGTCAGGTGAACGTGCCCAAACCATTTCGGTAGTTGAATCAAGTCCCCACTGCTGAGGAAGCCAGCAGTTGTGTTAGGGCCTTAACAGGTGTATGCTTTGAAGATGCTTAATAATCTTGAGGCTTGAAGAGGTTCATTCAACGTAATGTAACACCGTAAAACCAACTTTGCTTCTTTCCCCAGAGGCCACCTGAATGACCTTGAAAACATCGTCCCGTTTGTTGGCATTGGACTGCTCTACGCTCTTAGCGGCCCTGAGCTCTCCACGGCCTTGCTGCATTTCAGGATCTTCACCGGGGCTAGGGTCCTTCACACTTTTGCCTACTTGATCCCTCTTCCCCAGCCTGGCAGAGGTTTGTCTTGGGCAGTTGCCTACGCGGTGACCATCTCCATGGCCTACAAAGTGCTGAAGACGGCGTTGTACCTGTAGCAGGGTGGTAGCTTCTGCCCACCCTTCCACATTCCACCCCAATTCCCCAGCGGTGTGTGTTGATGTCTCGAATGAGCCAGCGTGAGTTTTCTGTGGTGACTGGAATTAATTTTTTAACAGAGGGAGGGAAAAAAAAATATAAATATATCCTTCTCCCCATATTCCCTATTCACAGGCTGCGTTGCCAAAATGTTAGATTGAATGTTCCCTTTGCGATTTGTCAAGTGCTTATGATTCTAAACATGCGATGATGGTGTATTGATAGCATGTGTGGTAATTTTCTACAGATGCACTATTTTTGGCTGTAGCTCTGAAGTCTAAATCAATAAAGACAAGAGGGGAAAAAAAAAAAAAAAAAGCGTGTTTGTATTTTTTGTTTTCGTTTTGACTCTTCTCGCTGCAGCCAGCAAATAGCATGTCACTATGCATCAGGAAGAGATTCCAATCATACAGTTCTTTGAAGAATGCTTACCTTAATAATAAGATATAACCAGTAATGCGAGGCTTGTTGTAAAAAAAAAATAAAAATCTTTGATGAAATTGTTGTTTGTATAATCCATTTTGGGATTAAAAAAACCCAAACCGTTGCAGCTCTATTTCTGTCAGTCGAATAGATTAAAAAGAAAAAAGTATTTGGGCTAAACTCTGATCAGTGACACTGGTGAAAATCTGAAGTAATTCTTTTTGTTGAAGTCACTCCAGACATAGGTTTTGTGACTGGATAAAGTACAAGATTTTGTAGAATATATTTTTTTTTTTCATTTATGAATAAATTCAGCATAAAATGAGTGACACTTAAAAATGTATATATAAAGTAATTCAGATATGAATATATAATTATTTTGCATGTCATACTGTCATAAATATGGTGCTGATAGAAAATTTTCCTCTTTACTTACATCTTTCTATGATGTATCAGTTTGAAATATTTTCTTTAAAGACTCTTCCTGGTCTTTTTTGGTTGGTTTGTTCATTTTTTTATATCTGTAGCTTAAATAATAGCACAAGATTTCAAAAAAAAAAAAAAAAAAAGACCCAGAAAAGTCTTTCTATCCATTGTGCTGGTCATTGATAAATTTTAAACGGCAGAAATCACAGCAGAACATGTGCAGTTTAGTTTCCTATCTCAGAAGTTCCCTCTGCTGCCTCTGAATGGCAAAGGCTTTGCTTTTCTCTTTTTCTGTGGGAGAAGGTCCCTTCCAACCTAAGCAATTCTGTGATTCTGTGGTTCTCAGACCTCACGTGTGAGCCTGGATTGACAGGCTGAAGGAGTTGGGGTTGTTCAGCCTGGAGAAGAGAAGGCTCCGGGGGGACCTTATAGCCCCTTCCAGTACCTAAAGGGGGCCTGCAGGAAAGATGGAGAGGGACTTTTTATGAGGACGTGTAGTGACAGGGCTAACAGTTTTAAACTGAAAGAGGGCAGATTTATATTAGATCTCAGGAAGAAATTTTTCACTATGAGAGTGGTGAGACACTGGAACAAGTTGCCCAGAGAAATTGTGGATGCCCCATCCCTGGAGGGGTTCAAGGCCAGGCTGGATGGGGCCTCGAGCAACCTGGTCTGGTGGGAGGTGTCCCTGCCCAGGGCAGGGGGGTTGGAACTCGATGATCTTTGAGGTCTGTCCCAACTCTAACCATTCTATGGTTCTAAGAAGCTGCAGATTTTTGTGTCATCTGGATAGAGAAGGATGCAGAACAGGTTTGCAGGCTGATATCAATTTTGCTGGAAGATCAAGGCAGTGGAGCACATTAGCAGAAGGGGGTGCAGGAAAGAGTTTGTGTCCTCCTTTTTGAGGACAAGGTTTGTAGGTAGAATCTGGGACATGAGCCAGGCAGTAGGAGAAAGCAGAGGCCAAGATTTGAGCTTCTGGCAAAAACGGTGGGATTAATACTAGAACATTGTGGAGCTTCAGTTCTTGACATGGCAGATTAATCACATGTCAACACCTCTGGGTTACCAGGGACTCCAGTAGGGAACATGAGCTTTTGTATTTCTTCTCGTTGCATCTTTCTCCACCACTTTTTATCTTTCCTTTTTTCCTGTCATTCCTGCTGTCTCTGGTAGCTTTTCGGGGGATCTTGAGACCAGCTGCCTTGGACAGTATCATTGTAAAGAAGGTAAGATTGACCTTCAGCTCTTCCTTGCTTGAGAAGAATCTAGTGATGGAGGGAGAAGGGATGAAACTGTGTCCTTGTGCTGGCACCCAAACCAATCGTTGTCAGAGTCAACCTGCCATCTCAGATTGGTCGGTCTGTGGCTGCTCTTGCCTCCTTATATCGTGATACCAGCATCTAAAGCTGTTATTTCCCTCACTTCTTTGTAGTTTCCCTCTTCTTTCCAGCTGTGTGCCTTTCTATATGTTTAAAACAACAGGAAAGGAGCCACCACGCAGAGGGACCCATTTGAATTTCAGCAGCAGAGCGAGTCCTTTCCTTTAGCATCGAAAAGGCTCCTCTGACAAGCCTGGTTGTCATTGCCAGATGTGTGCAGGAACAGCATTTTTAACTCCTTTTGCATCAAACTTCTATACAGAAATCTCATTCTGAAGAGAAATACCCGGAGCCTGCCTTTATTTCTGTGATCTTACATTTGAAACAAAACTAGTTTTAAATCCCTTCCATTTGCTCAGTGGCTTCAAAGCCCTGAATGTACACTCGCTATGTGCCAAGAAGTAGAAGAGATAAATGGAAACTTGTAAAAATACCTAGAGTGCTTCAATATTATTCTGTGTTTCTCTTGCATTGATTTTAAACCTATATTTTATTTTCCTTTGCTCCCACAAATACCATCTGTGCAGCTGGGTGGGGTACGTGCTCAATCTGGGAAATCTGCCTTACCAGCTTCAGTCAAACTCCGACTGCCAGCTCCGTGGAAATGTGTGGAGTGGTCCTTCTCAAACAGTTCTTGTATTTCTTCAGGCCATGCCTTAGAGACCATCCGCCAACCACCATCCACCTGGTGGTGTACTGAACAGTTAGTTTATTTTCAGGAGAACTAGTAAAGGAAAAGTAACACATCATCAGTTGGATGTGTTACTGAGCTAAACTGAATTCTCACCTTTGAAAACGTGCACATGTGGATTTTGGACTGCTATTACCAGGTCCTGTTACAAAATCAGTAAATGAAATAATCTGTAACTGTGATGAAACGATGGGCGGTTATCAGCTGGCATGCTGCTTTTGACCTGGTGAAAGTACAGAGAAGGCAAGATGGAGAGGGACTTATTACAAGGGCATGTAGTGATAGGATGAGAGGTAATGGCTTCAAAATGGAAGAGGGTAGATTTAGATGAGATATTAGGAAGAATTTTTTCACTATGAGGGGGGTGAGACACTGGAACAGGTTGCCCAGAGAAGTTGTGGAGGCCCTAGCGCTGGAGATGTTCCAAGACCAGGCTGGATGGGGCTTTGAGCAACCTCGTCTGGTGGGAAGTGTCCCTGCCCAGGACAAGGGGGTTGGAACTAGATGATCTTTGAGGTCCCTTCCAACCTAAACTATGATTCCACGTCAGACATAAAAAGAGGTCAAACTAATGTCTTCTAGACTTCATTTCTGTTCATTATGCCTGTCATTCCCACCACTAATCTTAGAGAACTGGAGAAACTACAAGTTTTCTTCTCTCTGACAGTTATTCCTGGCATTTCATATCCTTACTTCTGCAAAGTGTCTTTGAAGTGGCTCTAATAGTTGACCATGAGGTACTTTAAATTACTAGCTGACATAGCTTGACCCAGTTAGCTGATTTTGTCTCTGAATTTCACGGGCTGTTTTGTTTTCACAAGTGTAAATGTGAACAATTCCTCCATTTAATTTTTGACTCTGTGGGTAAATGCTTATGGGGCTTTGGCCAAAGCTGCCTTATCCAGGTTTTCGTGGCACTGAAGGCGGCGAGTCGTTGAGAGGGCTGGTGACTGGCAAATGGCTACGACTGGCTATTTGAACATGACTTCACGTCCAGTCACAACAAAGCAGCTGTTTAAAATTCATATATTAAACATTTCCTTGAATTTTCAGAAGCAAGTGTGTATCTGAACTTCCCTGCCTTCAATCTATTTATTTCAAGAAGCTGCGTCGATGTTCTGAAAGTGATGGAATTGTGTAAGTCACCAAAATACAGGAAAAGAAAAGTGTAGGCTCCTAAATCAATCACTTCGGGGTTTTGAAAAGTTTTCTAGTCATCTGAAGCCTGTTGTGGTCATGTACTCCATGCTTAGCTGTGTCTCTTCCTAGTTTTTTACAGAAACAAGTTCAATCTAGATTTTTGGTGGAAAATGCTTGTAAAGTATGTCCTTTCTAAAAGTGAAAAATAGAAAGCAAAACTTTAAAAATAACCTTTTAAAAGTAACTGGAATGTTGTCTTTTATTATTCAGACCACCGTATTTTTCATTTCAAGGCTGCGGTTTAGGAAGAACTTTTCTCTTTTCCAAACCTTGTCCTGCCAACTGAGATGGCACATCTCATGCTCTGTGTGTGAAAGGTTGTATTGACGTGTGTTAAAATACTCTCATGCAGAAGAATTAATTAAATACTGATTTTCAAACTTCCAACTCTTGATTAGTAGCTCCCACTCACAGATTTTGAAGGCTAAAATAGATCATTAGCTCCTTCAGCCTGACCTCTAGTGGAAAATATGCCATGGAATGGCTGCCCTTCTACTGAGGTGAGTTTAACCATAGGACGACTTCCAGAAAAGTGTGTGATCTTCATTGAGAACCTTTGGGAGACAGGCGTTGATTCACTCTTTTCTATGACGTGGTTTCTCTCTGGAATATACACACACTAAAATAAGTCTTTACAAACAGTGGGGGTTCTTTTTGTCATCTTTGTTTCTTGGGTTTTGGTTTTGGTTTTTTGTTGGTTTTTTTTTTTTTTTTGAGGCAGTTATTAAATTACTGCAGTGCAAAGAGGAATTTGAAATATTTTAACAGCTGCTTTTCTTCTACGAAGCACTTTGCTCTTTACTCCTGTACACTCTTGTAAAAAACCCAAAAATTTAGAGCACTTTTCCACATATAAAAAAGTACTACTCTTGTCTTTTAAAAGTAGGAGGTGAGAAAAGTGAGGTATAATGCCTGAAGTTTTTTCTCTCTATAATAGTGCTAATTAAATATTCTTAGGAATATGTGCTATAGTGAATATGCACACACGGGACTGTATTCTGCACAGATGCTTGCAATGTATGAAGCTGTAACCCTGATCCCATGTCACAAGTTCTGTAAGTAGTACTGCAGTGATGTAGAGCATCCCTTGCTAGCCTGGAGTGAAGCATCTTGAAGTGGATGCTTCTAAAAGGGTGGGAAATGACATCTCCAGCACACTTTCTTCAAAGCCTCCCGA